CATGTGGTAAGAGCATCGGACCAATTAGTGAGCGAGTCTTCTGCTCGGGTTCATCTTTTCTGCTGGGTATGTATGTAGCAGAGGGATGGTGATTTGAAGGGTGGCATTTATCAAACGCCCTTGGATAGGAAGTCTCTGCTTTAGTGACATGACCTGCATTCATTTAACAAGGATAGCACCCATTGCCTGGAACTGCAGCCCAGAAAGTGCTGCACCAAAAGTGCAGCCTCCAAATTGGCATTTACACGTTTGACTTTATTTCTGGAAATCATTAAAAGCCATCACAATTGTGTCTCTATTGGAGTTCATATGTTTCAAAAATATAGATCCTGCTCTTTCCTTGTGAGCCACCAAATTGTAAGTGATGCCATTAGGGTTCATTGGTTTGGGATCCCCCCGCACACACACGCCTCCCACCTTTTGTGGTCTTCCTTCCATATCAGTCTGATTGGTTACAGAAAGGAGAGGTAACCAATAAATCACCCAGTTCCTCCTGGTGTGAATGCCCAAGATAGTGTCAAAAGCAAAACGTATGGGGAGGTCGGGGGGGTGGGGGGAGTTTAGGTCAGCAACTTTGGGGGAGGGGATGGTTTTTCTGCGTGGTAAAGCAGAAAAATCCTGTCATCGAGTTTAAATGCACAGGATCTGCCCGGCGGGGAGCCGCGGTCTTTGTGTGGCTGATTAATGTCAGCCTTGTAAGCACAGTGCCCCAGCATCAGGGCTGGCCCGCTGAGCAGACACGGGAGAACACAGCCTCTCCCGCTTGGGGATCTGAGTAGAGTCCGATGCTTCTGAATGGGGCTGGACAAGAAAGCTGAAGGGTGGGAACCTGGGAGATATTTTTAAGATTTCAGCTATCTGTCCCAGAGAAGGGGACACAGGCAGCCGTTTAAAAGAGCACCTTCCTTTCAGGCCTTGCTGCCACAGGGAGCAGCACCGTGCAAATCCAGCCCCTGTCTCTCCCAACTCAGCTGCTCCCAGTGCAGGGAATCCAAAAGGGCCTGCTTCCTAAATGATCTTCAGGCCTGAAGAGGAAGTGTGTCCAAGAGCAGAACTTACATCCTTAAAGGGATTGAGCAGGGAGCTTTGAGAAAACGGGACTTTGGGTCTGGTGCTCACCTAAAAATGCTAGTGGCGCCAGGCAAACCCATCCGCCTTGGTTTAGGCATCAAGGGAATGCACTTTGTCAGCAAGTGCTCAGAGGAAGGCCCCTGCGTGAATCTCCTGCCCCATTTTATTGCTGGGAAAACATGGCCTTCCATGAGTTGGGGGTGCAAGTCAAATCCACAGGGAATGTGTGTGATTTAAAAACCTGAAAACTGTGTGATGCATTTATGTCCATTGCTCAGATGTTGCCATGAATTCATTCTTGGGACTTTGAGGGGTGTCCTGTGACACCCAGGCAGTGTTGCTGTTTTTCAGGTGCAAGCTTGCTCACCTCCACAACCCTCTGTGCATTTCCCCTAGCAATTTATGCTGAAAAAGCAAATCTTCCAGACACTCTAAAAATAGCCCAAAACCATCCCGAAAACCTCTGCTCTCGGTTCTGATTTCTAGAGGCAGCAAGAGAAGGGAAAAGCCTTTTATTTTTTATTTATAATTTCACCACCAATAAAATCAGAGGTTGATGTTTATATATTATACGGTGGTTGTTTTGAGAAATAAATTAAAGTAAATGATGAAACTTTAGAAAAAAATGGACTCTCTGGAATGGAACCAAGAACAAGCTCTTAGTGTTGACCTTTTGGTTAAAGCCACATAATGCAATTTATGTCATCCCCTCTAGATATATTATTTTATTGGTTTGCTGGGAATTTTGGCTTAAGGGAAATTGTATAGTGGAGGAGTTACTGCCAAATGTCTGTCCCCGTGTTGAGGTGTTACCATAGAAAACAGCACAGGCTCAGGCCCTCTAAGTGCTTCTATTCTGCAGGTCCCTGATTCACAAAAAGACACTTTCAGATGTTGTCATAACGGGAGTCGTGACTGCTGACTGTCCTCATTAGGAGCACTTAGGAACAAAGTGGTGCTTTTTCAGCCTACACAGCTTTTAAAATTTTATTCTTATAAATCTTAACCACTGGTGAATTTGAGGTTTATAAACCTTTTTGCAGTGCCGAGATCCTCAGATGAAAGCAGCTAAACTGGTTTTCAGAACCAGAAGTCAACCCAATCATCAGTCACTAACTTGCTGGTTGTTGATGGATATTTCCTGGTTGATATGTTTCAGCTTTTGTATATCTATAATAATAAAAGGGTAATATGCCAGTTTAGACTAGACGTCATTCAGGACATCATTCTGGCCATCCTCCCAGACGAAGCCCTGGCTGGAGGGAAGCCTGGGTCCGCAGCCAGGACAAGGAAGGCCTACACTTGCACAAATTTCATGCATCAGGCCTCTAGTATTGAGATAAAATTGTATTTTGGCAACGAAGTGCATTTGTTTACATCATAGAGCTGGAGGTCACCCTCTGACTAGATCTCCCCCCTTCTTCCATGGCGCGCCCTGGGCTCACTGGCCATTAAGTTTCCTTTACATTCCGATAACCTCATCCATTCTCCTGGCTCAGTGGGCCATCTGAATGCTGAAGACCCTCCAACTTATAGTGCCAGCTTGAACCTGTCTATCTCCAGCCCCCTGCACTAACTTCCTACTTGAATCTCTAGTTAAATATGAAATGCCCATCCCAAATTTAATTTGTCCAAAATGCAGTTCCAGATCCATCCAAATCCTCATCCTCTTTCATCCCCTCCATCCAGGCTGATGGTAACTCTCTTTTCACTTGCTCAGGCCAAAACCTAAGAGTCATTCTGGAATCTTTTTTTTCTCCCGCATCTCTTAGCTTGCCAGCGCCACCATCAGAAAACAGTCATATCTCACTGTTGAGGGAGAGGAGGGGGCCTCGTCTTCCCCTGTTGCGTATGGGTGTGGGCTTCTTGGGATATCGCTGGAATAAGCATTGCCAGGGGCCCCACAGGAGATTGCTATATAGTAGAAAGCTTTGTTTCTGTGGAACCACGCCCCTGAGTTTCCAAAGTCCCATTTCCCTTAGTTTAGACATGGAAAAAATGTAGCTGGGGTTTCAGCAGAGCTAAAACCAGAGCCAGTGTCCTGAGTTTCCTTTCCATTTCTGTATAGTCCAATTATTGCATCGGGCTAGCTTAGCTTGTGTTTCCCCGCTGCAGCCCATAGTCCATTATGTGGGGGGTCCTCACGGCTCAGGGCCACAGGGGCCAAAGCAAGAGAGTGGGAGCAAAAGAGCTCCACAAGCCAAGGGCCCAGCACCACAATTAAATGAATTCCTTTGTTTAGGAGAGTATGTATTCCCAAAGGTTCACACCCTTGCACTGGCCATGCCCATTTGACCAATCATCTCTGTCCCCAGGTGTGAATGACAGGAAAGTACCTTCCCTATGTCACCCCTCCATTACTGGGCATGTGTCTATCTTCCCTTTATTAGATCTTTCCCCCAGTGTGTGTGTGTGTGTGTGTGTGTGTGTGTGTGTGTGTGTGGTGTTTTTTTGTTTCTTTCTTTTTTAATTTAATTTTATTGTTTCAGGTATTACAAATAGCAGTACATATGTCTCCCTTCCCCCCCCCCATTAACCTTTTACCAGCCTCCACTAATCCCCAACACTTGCCCTCACCCCCCCACCTCAGTGTCTTGCATCTGTTGGTTGTGCTTATATGCATGCATACAAGTCCTTCAGTTGATCTCACACACACATCCCCAACCCTCCCCTACCTTCCTGCTGTAGTTTTATAGTCTATCCGATGCTTCTTTGCCTCTATTTTTGTTCAACAGTTTATAATGCTGGGAATATGCTTGTAGTGTCTGGCCTTCCCTTTCTTCCTTTCCTGTTATTAATAACTCATTAATTACAGCAGTATCTTCACCACCTACATGTTCAGAGTAAATCTGGAACCAGACCCCTTCTCACTTCTCATCCCTTTCACCACCACCTTGTTCAGGCTGCCACAGCACACACCTGTATTCCTGCGGGAGCCTCTAGCTGGTCTCCCTGCTTCCTCTCTTAACTGCTCTTCAATCATGAGTGACCCTGTTAAAATCTAAGTCACATCACATGACTCCCCAGCCCTCCAATGGCTTCCCACCTGACCACCCCACCCACAGGATCTGCTCCCTGATCTCATCTTTGTTTCTCTCTTCTTGGCTCCGGTCACACTGTCTTCTCCGAGTTGTTCCAACACCCAGATGGGCTTCCGCCTCAGTACCACCACTCTGCCTGGAGGGTTCTGCAGACACTGCACTGCTCACTCCCTCCTCTCCTAGGGGCTTTTTACTCAAATGCCAAGGCCTTCCCTGACCACTGTGTTTAAAATTACCACCCTTCCCTCCACCTCCCACATACTCTCTCTCCCCCAGGCCTCCTGTGCTCCCTTATGGCTTTATTTTTCTCCCTTTCTACTCCCAAACATGCCATTTATTTTTCTTTGTTGTCAGTCTCTTATTTACTCCCACTGGGATGTAAAAACTTCCACAGCAAATGTTTGGCTTTTGCCCATTTCTGGAATCGCTGACATCTAGAATAAATAGCGCCTGGTAGATTCTAGGCAAACATGTATTGATGTGATTAATTTTGTATTTCTCTTTCTGTGGCACTAGAATAAACAGTGCCTGATAGGCTCTCGGAAAACATTTGTTGAAGCGATTAATTAATTGATTAGCACTTCTCTTTCTATGGCACATCTTTTCACACGTGTATTTATTGGCATCTTAGATATTTTCCTTCAGTAGATGAGGAATATCCAACTATTTCTGACATTTGTTGCCAGTATTTATTTCTTTACTATTTAATCTACTTACGTTTATATTTACAAACTGACGCTGACATCTTTGTAGGAGCAAATCTGTGGGTTTCTAGTCTACCGTTGCTGTTTTTCTTTGTGTGGTCCTTCAGAGTCAGCACGGCCACGGTATTCTCAAGCCCATCATCAGCTGCATTTCCTTGGACTCACGATGTGTCGTCTCCCGCAGGCATCAACAGGAAGGTCGTGTACTCCCTGGCAGACTCGGCCGGTGGGTTCTTCTCCATCGACGCGTCGTCCGGCATCATCATCCTGGAGCAGCCGCTGGACCGAGAGCAGCAGCCCTCCTACAACATCAGTGTGCGGGCCACGGACCAGAGCCCCGGGCGGGCCCTGTCCTCCCTCGCCACCGTCACCATCACCGTCCTGGACATCAACGACAACCCGCCTGTGTTCGAAAGGAGGGACTACCTGGTGACAGTGCCCGAAGACACCTCCCCGGGCACCCAGGTCCTTACGGTTTTCGCCACCAGCAAAGACATTGGCACCAATGCTGAGATCACGTATCTCATTCGGTCTGGGAATGAGCAAGGGAAATTCAGGATCAACCCAAGGACAGGTGGGTAAACAGCAGCCTAGGTATTTAGAATTCGGGCTCCATTCTGTCCTGCTTCCACTCCGACCCCCTAACCGCTTTTCTCTGTGGGCTCTTTCTCCTGCCACTTCCTTGGCAGCAGAAATAAGACTTCTCATAGCAGGGCCTGCTGGCCGATCCCAGAGTGCCCTCTGGCACCCTGCTTCTAAGGATGCCCCCCTCGGTTGGAAGCCCCTGCTGCGGGCTCTCTTGGCAGATACTTGACCCTCAGGCTGTCTCCAGGATTTCCTGCAGAAGGTTGGGAGCAGCGATGTGCTTCCTAGCTGGGGAGAGGAAGTATTCTTTGCAAAACAAGCACAGGTTTTGTTTACTTCTCTCTTTGCTGTTTGTTTCTTGGTTCTCTAACCGGGATCATGAGTTTTGGAAGTGCTTCTGGAGATTTGCTTCAACTCACCACCATCCAGGCTGCCACTCTCTGGTCACCTGCCACGGCAGACATGGATGAGTGACCTGCAGGTCCTCCCACCAGCACCCCATGCAGCTGGAACTGGGACCATATCTGGATCCTGTTCACAACATGGTCATGTCTCACCACAGGCTTTTGAAACCCTGGGGAAGTTGAGGCATCACCTAGGGCAGTGGTCGCCAACCTTTCAGACCTCACGAACCACCAGTGCTCCAGGCACCACTGGTTGGCGACCGCTGATCTAGGGAAAAGGTGCCCAGGAAGAAACAAGAGGAACCCCCAGGGCTTTGCATCAAAGAGTTAAAACTATTAGGGGTAATTTGGGTAAATAAAGGTGGCATTTTACAACATAAGCTTAGATGTTTTTTGAAGAGTAAACATCTTCATCCTTTCAAACGCTGTATGAAAATATTAATACAAACATTTTCATACAGTGTTTGTATTAATATTTTCAAAATAGTCCCATTTTGCAAATAAGAAAGGTGAGTCTTCCCGGCCACTGGACATAATTCCCTCATTACTCAATACGCACTTGGTGAGCAAGTTAGCAAAAGAAGTCCATTTGTATAGTCCAGTAAATATAAACTAGAAGCTATCATAATTAGCAACACTCACTAACAAAGCAGATGCACCAAATTCCTATTACATCATTAGTTATTTTTCATGGTTTCCATATACGGAAAAACAGAGCTTAGGAGAGGTGAAATAATTTTCCCAGGATCCACCGTAAGTAGAGGATTCAGGATTTGAACTCGGATCTTCCTGACTTTGGAATTCCTGCTTAACATCTCAAGTACTCTGCTATGCTATGGAGGGTGCAAAAAAAAAATGAAGGAGTTAGTCCAGGGGTCCTCAAACTTTTTAAAGTGGGGGCCAGATCACGGTCCCTCAGAGAGCTGGAGGGCCGGACTATATGAACTACTAATTCCTACTGTAACACCTCGGCTGCGCTCACTGCCCAAAAAACCTGGCGGGCCGGATCAGACTCCTTTGCGGGCCGCATGTGGCCCGCGGGCCGTAGTTTGAAGACGCCTGATAGACCTTAAGTTATAGAGAGGCAAATATTGCACCTTAAGTTATAGAGAGGTGCAAATATTGACGGAAGAGTTACATTAGCGGCTTCTCCCAGCAGTAACTCTGTTTATTAAGGTCATTACTTCAAATTAGAAGGTATAGGGCTTTTCCTCATTTAAATATGTGTTCGTCTTAGCTGGTCTAATTATGATATTGTATATGGACACCATGGGGAAATGGTTAAGTACAGTTTACATTGGGCACTGGATAAGGAGACATGAGGCGCTAAGGGTGATAACTGCTAAGAAAACTTAATCGTGGAAAGAAAAGGGCTCCTGTAATTGGTATGACTTCTGTCTCTCGCCTTAAGTGAAGGGCAGCCTTCGCTCCTAGAGAAGTTGGATGTGACATACTCACCGTAGGCCTGCTGATTGCTTTTCAGGCGGGAAAAGGGGTCAGTGCCCTTGCGAGCTGCTATGCCGGCAATACAATGATCAGGACCTAATGGCAGGAAGGCAGGATTGAGTTGCCTCACCAGGAAGGGCTAGGATGGGAGGGAAAGAGCTCTCGTGGAACTTCTCCCAGGGGAGGCACCCAGCAAGCTGCCGTCACCTGTTCTGTTTGTTTAATTTAAATGTATCTGTGACACAGGCATGATCTCCATCCTGTAGTTGTGGACCCTGAGCTTTCACTTAGCATTTGGCCACTGATTCCCAGGTGTTTCCCTTTCCACTGTGTCACGATCCCTTGGTGTTTCTGAGATCCTTGCCCTCTCAGTGCCATCCTCCTTTTAGATAAGCACAGAAAGCTGCAGGCCCGGAACACTGGAGCTATTTTTAATGAGATTTCGGCTTTCTGGAAGTATTTACTTGCTGACGGGGATGAGGTCATACACTCACACCCACACGTTTCAGCTCATTCTCGGTCAGCCCGGGTCTACCTGAAGAGTCACTGGGAGACGCTTATCAGGGATGTGGTTCTTGTCCCTACTGCCTACTTGTATGAGGACGACTAATGCCAGAGGCTTCCCGGCTACTTGAGAAAAGAACTATTGCAGAGACATGCAGAGACTTGACACCTTCAACATTGTGTCTGATGGGTCGCTCTGTTTTTGTTGTTGTTGTTGTTTAAATATTTTTTATTGATTTTTCACAGAGAGAAAGGGAGAGGGAAAGAGAGTTAGAAACATCGATCAGCTGCCTCTTGCACACTTCCAACTGGGGATGTGCCCGCAACCAAGGAACATGCCCTTGACCAGAATCAAACCTGGGACCTTTCAGTCCACAGGCCGATGCTCTATCCACTGAGCCAAACTGGCTAGGGTGGTCGCTCTGTTTTAACTTACAGCATTCATCAGATTCTGGGTGCTTTCAGAAGGGCATTCAATAAACAAATTCCTGAATAGTTAATATTCTTGGCTGGAGATGATGTTATAAATATTTCCATGATTGTGGAACTGCATACTACTGTTTTTTCCCCAATTAAGTCTAAAGCTCCCATTTCTCTTCAAAGGGGGTATTTTAGTCTCTGAAGTCCTGGACTATGAATTATGCAAAAAGTTTTACCTGGTGGTGGAAGCTAAAGATGGGGGCACGCCAGCTCTCAGCGCCGTGGCCACCGTCAACATCAACCTCACCGATGTGAATGACAATCCTCCCAAGTTCAGCCAAGATGTCTACAGCGCTGTCATCAGCGAAGACGCCTCGGTTGGGGACTCTGTCATTTTGGTAGGTGCTAGTGGGAGGCCCGGATGTCTGGGGCTCGTAATCCTCAAGAGCGTGAAAAAGTGTGCCGAGTCTGTCTTGGATTCTCTTCACACTTTCCTGTCAGTGTCCTTTGAACCCCAAGACCCCTAGTAGAGGCACCAGTCCTTCAACTGTTCCTTCTCCAGTGTGTCTGTTAAAAAGGGTTTGAATAATGCATTTATATGAAGGTGCAAGTGACTGGTAATCACTGTCCCCTCAGGAATGTGTTTTTTGATAAAATAAGACATGCCATGGAATGAAGTTATAATAATAATAATGGCTCCTGCTAGCGTGTGACCTTAGATGATAAGTTATTAGGTAGCTAAGGAGAGACTAAAATTCCTCTCAGCCCCTGAAAGAGAGAGAGAGAGAGAGAGAGAGAGAGAGAGAGAGAGAGAGAGAGAGAAATTGGAGCAAGTCTAAGATGAATAGGCCTGTCTTTGGAGAGTTCTTTTCAGAAGAATCTTTTTCTAATACCAATAAGAACAAATCATGTGTTGCGAGAACACAGGCTCTCTTGGACTTACAGGTTACATTTTTGGAAACAATGAATCCCATCCTTACCATGATCATCATCCCTAGGTTGAGCAGGACCCTCCCACTCATCCTTCTCTCTGGCTCTCCCAGCACCAGGCTGTGGGTGTGCATTCTTTACACGTCAGAGGTGGGCTTCCCAGGCCCTCTGTCCTTCCTGGATTACAGTGCTGTTTCCACACATACAAATCCCAGCAACACCAACATGAGCAGCAGGCAGTGGGGAGTATGTCAGCCAGGTAGGAGAGGGAATTTTTTTTTGGCTTCCATAACATGAAAATGCATAGGTTGAGAATTGGAGAAGAATCACAAGAGTATCCCTAACAGTTAGCTCTGGCTCTATCCTTACTAGCTCGGGACCTGAGGAAAATCAGGCCTACCTAGCAGCAGGCTGTAGACAAGTAAAAACTAACAGAAATAAAATGGCAGCTCCAACCATAGTGGCTTCCTTCTTGAGCCAACCCCATCATCTCTTCCTGGGGTTATGCTCTGTCCCTGCTGATCGTAGCGCCTATGAAAACCCACAGAGATGGGCGCGTTTGTGCAGACCTGGAACCCTAAGAATAAACCTTTTGTGTCATGCCTTCCCTTTGTTTTGCTTGTGTCCCATCAAGCTAATAGCAGAAGATGCAGATAGCCAGCCCAACGGACAGATTGGTTTTTCCATTGTGAGTGGCGATCGGGACAATGAATTTGCTGTGGATCCTGTCTTGGGACTTGTGAAGGTTAAGAAGAAATTGGACCGGGAACGGGTAAGCTAGTTTAAGTCAGCTCCCCTCCCACCCACTCCCATCCACACCCATCCCTTCACTGGAATCACACACTGGCTCAGTGAGTATCCGTAGGAAGATTCTCTGTTCTAAATGCCCAGAGTGAAAAGGGAGGGGCTAAAATGCAGCGCCGTGTATTTGCGTTAGAACGTTGAAAGAATTTTCTGCCAACAGATGTTGGCGGTTTCTTACTTAGGAATGTTTTAAGGAAAAGCAAATGTGTAGCTTCCTGGATGGTTTGAAGTAGGTCCTTCCTCCAGCAAAGGGGCAGAAAAGCATCATGAGCACTGGGATCCTGTGGTGCAGAAGGATCCCCTGAAGGAATCTAGGTCAAAAAGAATGATGCAGAAAATTCCTCTGTCCAAGGTTGAACTGCGTTTCTAAACATTATCTTTTTTGGCCAAAAAAATACTATCCTCAAGGAGAATCTAAATATGGGGGAAAGGTGCTCTAGTAGTGATGCTAACAAGCTGAACGACCTCACTGGCTGATATAGACCCCTAACTCCCAAAGAATCAAAGCTGATAAGATAGCCTAGTGTTGACAATGGTCTTATCTGAACAAAGGCCAAGAGCTGCGATGCTAAGCAGGGATGGTTTCCCCCCTATTCCTAGAACATTTGGTCACCCTCCCCCACCATATGTTTGGAGGCTGTCAATTTCCAGTTGTCACAAATGCGCAGGAGGTGCTACTGCCTTCTAGTAGGTCGAGACCAGAGATGCTGCTTAGACATTGTACAGGCACGAGTCAGCCCCCAACAACAAACAGTTACCTGGCCCCAGTGGTGCCAGGGTTGAGAGACCCTGGTTTAGAATCAAAGGGAAGATGGCTGAACTTCAGCAAAGTGGAGCAGAGCCTGCAGCGCCTCTGAGTTTGTGCCGAAAGAAGGAGACACTGCGCTTCCTCGCTGTCAGCTCTGTGCTTCCACAGGTGTCCGGATACTCCCTGCTGGTCCAGGCGGCGGACAGTGGTGTTCCTGTGATGTCGTCAACTGCCACCGTTAACATCGACATCTCTGACGTGAACGACAACGGCCCCGTCTTCACACCTGCTAACTACACCGCTGTGATTCAGGTGCGTGAATCGGGCCTGCCGGGCACTTGTCTTGACAACACTCAGCGTCCTTTCTGTGCTATTACCCGGCATGGTTTATTACTGTTTGTTACCTAAGATCAACGGACCCGATCACAGGGCTGGTATCAAACTAGTCTGAATTTTCTACTGCAACTGGTTCGCAAACATTGATCGGTGTGGCCACCAGTGGGGTTCTTTCAAGTGTCAGGGACTTTCCACACACCATCTATACCCGCCCTAACCCCGTGAAGTGCGATGGTGGCTCAGCCCCCACTTTTCAGTGAAGGAGCTAAGGATCTGAGGGGTTAAGTATCTCCCTCAAGATCATGCAGCGACGTGGTAGAGTCAGGATTAGAACTCAGACCTGTCTTCGGCAAAAACTGTTTTCTTTCCAAAGAGGCTGCCTTTGAGCCACTGTGTACTATCCTGGTGGGGAAGGGAGATGGATCCTAACGGGGTCATCCGTCAGAGGGAGACTGGGCATCAGGATAGAGCCGCGACTCACTGAAACCACTCTTCCATAAGCAGTTTGTTCAGCACTTCACATCCACCAGCTCTTTAAAATCAGATGGAGTATCTTCTGGCATTCTACAGTCAGAATGACTCTCTTTCCCATCTGTTTTTCTCTTATTCAAAAGATACTTAATTAGCGCAGTGCTGGGCCCCGAGCTACCTCCACTTCCCCATGTTTCTGACCTCAGGAGGTTCAGGAAATCCAGTCTGGGAAGTACAGTCGGTGTGGAGGACTTAGCAGAGACCAGATTGATACACATACCTTGGGAGGACCCCAGGTAGTCTAGAGAACCAGCTTCTGCTTGATCCAGTTTGGCCTCAGAATCACCCCCCACGGGGCCCAGGGCTTTGTGGGTAGAAGGTAAGATGAGAGGGAGCCAGATCTTGAGGGGCCCTTTTTTGGATAATATTTAAGACCTTGCGTCTGGCCCTCCATAGCCTGCTCCCCTGCACCACTGAGCTAGGAATCGGGTGAGAGGCAGGCAGACAGCCAGCAGCTTGCTGCTTCATCCTCCACTGCTTTGTCAGAGAAACCGGATCCCTTCACCTGCTGGCCTTTGGGTTTTCCTCTCCTCTCTGATGCTTTTTCCAGCGGCTGTGCATTCTTGTCTCTCTCCTGCTCCCACGGAGTTTCACGCAGGGTCTGCACCTTCCTGCAGTCCTCCTCCTCTCGGACTGCTCCTCTCTGAGACTGTCGCCACTGGGCTCTCTCTCTGCCTCTCCCGCCACTGTGTGCTCGCCCCTACACAAAATGGGCTTTGCCTACTCACCATTCAGTTTTATGACACACATCCATTAGCTTGACAGACTGTTCCACATGCACAGCAGGAAGTCGGCAGTGAAAGAACCGAGACCCTCAGCCGTGAGCAGTGACCCTGCCTCATAGCTGCAGCGAGGGGCCTGTGTTATATTTCACCCTTCTCTCTCTGATGGCGACCCCGGAGGGAGGGGGGTGTCTCTCTCTCCCTCTCTCTTCCTGTCTCTCCTATGGGGGAATGGCCTTGGTAGGCTGAGCAAACAAATCGATAAGTCTTCTGTTTTGTGTGGTGCTGTGTATGCTGTCAGTGTGGTGAACATGAAATCCTCGCTGGGCAGAGCGGGTTCCACGACTGGTTCCAGACGGAGACCATGTCTCGGTCCTGATGACCAAAGGCCACAAGGGGCAAAGTAAGAGTTCTCTGAGGCCCTTCTCTCGTTCTCCTACAAAAGGAGTTTCTCCCTTTTTTTACAACCCAGGGTAGTTTTCTTACACCAACACCTGGTTTTTATAAGACTGATTCAGCACATAAAATGAGTGTACCAGCCCTGTGCATGACTCCCCTCCAGACTGCTGCGTATCATTGTCCTCATCTCTGCAACCCAAGCTCACGTCACCCCAATCGATATCGCCTGGGGCCTGAACTAACGAGCCTGACTGCAGGCCCTCACTGCGGTAATGCCGAAGTCTAAACAGCGCAGGGCAGGGGAACCGGCGCCCGAGCTACAGAGGAATTGAACTTGGCCTTTTCAGAACGAGGCTAGCCTTTGAGCCAAGAAAGGATGACAAGAATCCTTTGTGTTTCTATTTTTGGGGAAAAGGCAGAGAGGTTCCGCAAAGTAATGCTCGCATTGTAACTCCGGGGCTTCCAAATATTCTGATGACGCTGAGAAATATTCCACCACCACCATCCCCCCCACCCCCCTTTCCTCAAGAAACATCGCAAAACTTGAATTCCGAGGTGTCGGGTGTGAAGCCCATTTTCCATCTGGCATAAGCGTTTGTGTATTTACTGGGAAGCTGCCAGGATGTCCTTCCCACCCCCGAACCCCCACCCCAACGTCCCATGTTGTGACATTGTGTCACGCCGTTGGGCCTCGGCATAATCATGTTGTGATGTGATTATGTCACATGTCAAAAGGTCCGTCTGAGGGGAGTGCTGACGTGATCACAAAGGCCAGGGAGCACCGTGTATTTGCAGAGCTGTGCGTGACCTCAGCGTATCCCAGCCTAGCCCAGGGCGAGGTGGGGCAGTAGCATCTTTGGAACCTATAGACCCGTTCAAGGTGAAGTCCTGTGCTCTCGCCTGCAGCCCATTGTCTCATGAGGCAGTGGTAGGAGGCAGCCGAGGACTAGAGCACGATGCTTTCAGACACCAGCGTATTTCCAGAAGATTAGATACTGTCCCAGGAACCCCTTCCTCTAAAACCCGTCTCCCAGCACAGCACTCTCAGCAGTAGTAACAGGACTTCTTATGTGAAGAGTGGTGTATCGATAATTTCATCTCTTTTTTTTTTTCTATGTGCTCTCTTATTCAGGAAAATAAGCCAGTAGGCACCAGCATTTTGCAGCTGGTGGTGACAGACAGAGACTCCTTCCACAACGGGCCTCCTTTCTCGTTCTCTATTTTGTCGGGAAACGAAGAGGAGGAGTTTGTGTTGGACCCGCATGGGACGCTGCGGTCGGCCGTGGTCTTCCGGCACACGGAGTCTCCGGAGTACCTGCTGCGGGTCCAGGTGCGCCCCCCGCCTCCCCGCCCTGCACCCCCCACCCGCGGCCCCGGCCCGGCTGCCTCTCTCCCGGGCCTGTTCCCGTGCCCATCGGGTGGTTTTTCTTTGAGGAGAGCGTCAACGTAATTCATTACCATGCAGGCATGTTCCCCTTTTAATCTCAAATTCAATTTCACACCAATAAAAGCGGCCCCTGTGTGTGAAATTGAACAGGAAGGAAGGGACGTGTCGTAGTTCGGCAGGGACATGCCTGTAGCGTGTAGGGCACAGGGCCTAAATCTGCATTCCGAAAACCCCTGGGGTTCTAACTGACCCCCAAAGTCCAGGCTTGCTGCTCTGTACTCAGTGGTGTTTGCCATGTCACCCGACTTGGGAAAGCTGCCAGGCTTGGTCCTAACAGGATGGAGCCAAATCATGGCCTCTTACTTTGAAGAGACCTCTGCTTGGTGGTAAGTTTCTCAGAGAGACAGGAGGCGATCACGCGCTCAGATGGCAGTGGTCCCCCTACTTTCCTGCCCCCTCAATGTGTACAGTGAAATGGGACAAAGAGGCAAAAACAACCGGGACAGGCAGCATGTGGATAGGAGCAGGAAATGACAGAGCTCCCAAAAGTGCCCATGTGTGAATTTTGACAGAACAAGATGTGGGCCCCATCAGTGAAACTGGGTGACTGTTTTTTTAAAAATATGTTTTTGTTGATTTTTAGAGAGAGAAGAAGGGATAGAGAGATAGAAACATCCATGAGAGAGAAACATGGACTGACTGCCTCCTACATGCCCCCTACTGGGGATCGAGCCCACAACCAGGGCATATGCCCTGACGGGAATTGAACCAGGGACCACTTGTTTCATGGTTGGACACTCAACCACTGGGCCACACCGGCCGGGCTGAGTGACTACTTTTATACACAATTGGGCAACCTAAAGTCATTGTTAATGGTGGCAATCATAAGCATAGTAATTTTTTTGTATTTGTACAGCATTTAATTGTGTACATCATTTCTTTTGATGAGTTATGGCTTACTGTGCTCCATGAAACCTTCCACATGAATGACTTTGGGCTCTGGCCATGTGAATGAACTCTGCCGTTGCCATGCATTCCTCCAACCATATTTATGTGGTTTTATATCACAGTACAGATGCTGACGGACAAGGAGAGGGTTGTGCCTTCTCGCAGAAGCGAGTATGGTTCTTTGCCTACCTTCTCTCATTATCGGAGAGCAGATTCGGATCTTAGACTTCAAAAGCGTTCTCCTCCAGGTCCCTCACATTAAAACACCACCCACCAAGTCCTGCGTTTCTGCCTTCCAAAGGTCCCGGTGTGCATCAGTTACATTCCCTTCCCCACCACCCACTTTATTCTAGATGGCCCCTCCTCATCCTACTGCAGAAGCCTCGTGGGTGATTCCTCCACGTTTAGCCGCGTTCTTTTCAGATCCATCTCTATACCCCTTCTAAATTAATCATTCCACTTTGATTATGTCATTCCTCTACCCCAGGGGTCAGCACACTATAGCCCCTAGACCACATCATGCCCTCCACCTGTTTGTGTCAATAAAAGTTTTATTGGAGCTGAACCCGGTTTGGCTCAGTGGATAGAGCATCGGCCTGCGGACTGAAAGGTCCTGGGTTCGATTCCGGTCATGGGCATGTACCTTGGTTGCAGGCACATCCCCAGTAGGGGGTGTGCAATAGGCAGCTGATAGATGATTCTCATCGATGTTTCTAACTCTCTAACCCTCTCTCTTCCTCTCTATAAGGAAAAAAATACAATAAAATATATATTTATAAATAAATAAATAAATAAATAAATAAATAAATAAAGTTTTATTGGAACGCAGCCTGGCCCTTTGTTTACATAGGCTGTGTGGCTGCCTCCATGCAGGAATCATAGCTGTCATATAACCCCAAAGCCTAAACTACTGTTTCTTATCTTGCCCTTTACAAAAAAGGTGTGTCAATCCCCGCCCTAAACTAAACCATCTGGGCTTCCCAGTCCCTAAAAATGTGTGGCCTGCAGGCTCAATTCTGGCCCAGATGCTTTCAGATTCTGAATGTCAGGGTCTTTAGGAGGACATGGCTCTGTAGTCCTCAGGCCATAGCAGCGCCCTAGTCTGTCACTTTACACCCAGCGGCTTCATGCCTTCCTGTCATCTTTCTGGCCTCCGACATTTGAGTGGGCAACCTCTGGCTTATAAAGTCCAAACTCATCACTGTCCTTTAAGACCCTCCACAGTGTGACTTCAAATTCAACCTTCTTCGCTAAACATGTCCTTTTCTCCATGGATTTGCCATGTCAACATCTCTGGTTCACAAATTCCATTCCGTAAAGCATCTGATGAGGGTAATAAAAGTAACTCATATACTAAGCATTTCTGTGGGTCAGGCTGTGGCTAAGCACTTGGCAATTACAGTGTCTTTTAATCCTTACAATGCAAGAATCCTCTGATGTAAGTACTACTGTTTTATTCATATTAAAGATACAAGCATTGTAGTTCAGAGAGGATAAGTAACTGAAAGCCAGGCATGAGCAGCAGGACCAAGATTTGAACTTAAGTCTGTGGGATGCCCAAACCTCTGCTTTTACACTGCCTTCCCCTTACAAGGACACACTTCCGCAGATTCTATCCAGTTTGCAAGGTTCATATCAACCCTGAATCCTCAGACACCTTCCCTGTGGACCCCGCCTGTGGGAACCTTCCCTTCATTGAAGCCGCACAGCTCAGACTACCTCCAGGTTGCATGTGGCAGGTGCTCAGGAAAGATCTATTGTCAGAGTGGTTGTTCCATCAACCGACATAAAGAAAGAAGACAAAAAAGGCTTTAGTTTGGCTCCCTATTTTTCCCTTCCATACACCACTCTTTATTCTAAACCTTAATATTGTGCAAGTCTCACTTAAATCATGCTGCTTCTCAAGTGTGCAAAGGAGTGCCATCTGGTCCAATCAAAAGGAAAGAATCCAAAGAGAACAGAAAGTCTGCCTCTGCCCTGGCTGTGTAGTCAGGTGGTTAGAGCATCATCCCAATGTGCCAAGGTTGTGGATTCAATCCCTGGTCAGGGAACATACAAGAATAAACCAGTGAATGCATACATAAGTGGGACCACAAATCTCCCTCTCTCCCTCTCCCTCTCCCTTCCTTTCTTTCTCTCAAATCAATAAATAAAAAATGTTTAAAAAAACAACAACAATTGATGAGGTTCACCTATGGCTTCTGTCCAGAAGTAAAAGAAGGCCAGCCTATTGTGGGTATGTTGGATCTCATAGCACAATGGTTGGCAAACTGCAGCTCGCGAGCCACATGCCTCAATCAGATTGAGGACGTTTTTAGCAAAGGCCAGATTAGGAGCACCCTAATTAAGTTAATAACAACGTACCTACCTATAAAGTTTAAGTTTAAAAAATTTGGCTCTCAAAAGAAATTTCAATCGTTGTATTGTTGCTATTTGGCTCAGTTACTAATGAGTTTGCCGACCACTGTCATGGCACCCTCTAGCCTCCTTCCCTGCTCACCCCATGTACTGTGTTGATACATGTTAGTGTCCATAACAAAGCGGACATGTGGGAACTAAAGGTGAGAGATCGCTCCTCTTAGGTAAATGCACATCTTCAGCGTTTTGCTGACCAGTGGCAGGGGATGGAGAAAGAAGTGAAATGTGTTTAAAGGAGCAGAGGTCTTCTGAGTTTTTGTGGTTTTTTTTTAATGACTCTGACTGTTTTTCTTCGTTCCTTGCCTTTCTCCCTCCTGGTTGCTTTAGGCAAAAGACTCAGGCAAACCCCAGCAGGTTTCTCACTCCTACATCCGCGTGCGGGTCATTGAGGAAAGTATCCACAAGCCCACGGCCATTCCTCTGGAGATCTTCATTGTCACCATGGAGGATGACTTCCCGGGTGGCGTCATCGGGAAGATCCACGCCACAGACCAAGACATGTACGACGTGCTCACGTTTGCCCTGAAATCCGAGCAGAAGAGCCTGTTCAAGGTGAACAGTCACGACGGGAAAATCATCGCCCTGGGAGGCCTGGACAGCGGCAAGTACGTCCTGAACGTGTCGGTGAGTGACGGCCGCTTCCAGGTGCCCATCGACGTGGTCGTGCACGTGGAGCAGCTGGTGCACGAGATGCTGCAGAACACCGTCACCATCCGCTTCGAGAACGTGTCCCCCGAGGACTTTGTGGGGCTGCACATGCACGGCTTCCGGCGCGCCCTGCGGAACGCGGTGCTCACCCAGAAGCAGGACAGCCTGCACATCATCAGCATCCAGCCCGTGGCGGGCACCGGCCAGCTGGACATGCTGTTTGCCGTGGAGATGCACAGCAGCGAGTTCTACAAGCCGGCCTACCTCATCCAGAAGCTGTCCAGCGCCAGGAGGCACCTGGAGAACGCCATGCGCATCGCGGCCATCCTGGAGAAGAACTGCTCGGGGCTGGACTGCCAGGAGCAGCACTGCGAGCAGGGCCTGTCGCTCGATTCCCACGCCCTCATGACCTACAGCACGGCTCGCATCAGCTTCGTGTGTCCGCGTTTCTACCGGAACGTGCGCTGCACCTGTAATGGTGAGTGCAGCTGAGGGTCCTTCTCCCCACCTCACCTCCTGAGACTTAATCAGACGAGGCTGCCATTCCTGGTATGCATGCCTTTGCTCATTCAGTCACTCAACAGTATATTTGCTGACCGTCTACTATGTGTCTAGCAACCATGAGGGTAACAAGACAGATTCTACTTCCATGTGGCTTATAAGCAGCCCAGACAATACAATCAGGCCAGCTCGAGCACCTACAGTAAGGATTGTTAGGGGAAGTGCAGTTCTTCGGGGGGGGGGGGGGGGGGGGCCAATCGGGGGGTAAGGTTTCCTAAAGGGAGTGTGTCTAGGCTGAGATAAAGGGTGAGCAGGCATCAGGCATGTGAAAACAGGTCGGCGAAGGAGAGCATTCCAGGTGGAGGGTGCTTTGCATGGGGAAGGCTTAAGGGCAAGAGAGGAACCTATACTGAGGGGATTGAAAGAGATTTCCTGTCGCTGGAAGGAGCAGGGAGTGATGACGGATGCGACTTGTGAGCGAGCCTGGGGACCACACAGAGCTAGCCAGGGTGAGGATTTTAGAAATGATCCCGGGGCGGCGGGGACTGCTGGCTGATTTGAAGCGAAGAAGTGACAGGATCAAGCTCCGTCTTTCCCAAAGAGCGTGCTGGCTGCAGAGGGGATGGATTAGGCTGGGCTAGGCCAGAGGCAGGGAAACAAGTTAGGGAGCCATGGCAGAGGGCACGTCAGCTAGATTCGCTTCAGTGAAAAATAGAGGCCAGACGTCCGGGAGCTCAGTCAAGGGATGGATTCAGCCCTAGGGGCAGCAGAGATGGACTGCTCCGCGTTTGTTGATGTAACTAGAATCACTGAACCTTGACCTTTCCCGGTCAGAGGCCGTCACTGCACAGAGTCGCACGCCCACAGCGGTCAGGGAGAAGCATGGCTGCCTCCCTCTTTCCTCTCTCTGACATGTGTAGCCATAAATCCACTGCCCTCTTCTAGGAAAATTGCACCCAGTCTTTCCAGCCAGTGTGAACTTGGCCCAGAGGGACGAGGCCAGAAGAAATGCCATTTGTGAAACATCCTCTTAGGTAATGGGGGGCAGGCAGGGCCTTGGCCTCTTCCTGTGTAGAAGGTTTTTGGTTGCAGTTTGGAAAATAAGTTCATCAGAGGAAGACCACGAAGGTCGTAGCTCCCTTTGAGAGACACTTCCACAACCTTGCAGCAGCCCAGACGAGTTTCCGCCTCTTACTCATCGGTATCCAGTGAATTCTGTTTGTGTTTTCATGGGATGGATGCAGTGACATCTGACCTGCTAAATATGCAAATTAGTTCCAGAAGAACTCCAAGCATGCATGCTAGGCGTAATGTCTTTCTGGCAGATGCCACCGACATGCAGGATTTATGAATGCCAGCTGTCCGGACCTCACCTAGGTCCCTCTGTAGGCAAACTGATTGATGCCCTGGAGCTCTGCCCGGGCCTGGGTGAGACAATTCGCAGCAGAGTTCAAAAGGCATTCACGGCAGGATAGGGCAGACCCTTGGGGAGAAACTAAACCAGTTAATGAAGCCTTGTGCTCTGGGAACGGGTTTCATTCAGCAAAAGTCGGTGGAGGCAGCAGAATCCTACACAGGGAAGATTCAGGAGTAAGAAAAAAGGAGCAGTCCCTGCACTCAGGCGCTGGCTGTTGTGAAGTCAACTTGCAAGTGTCTGTTTGCAGTGAAAATGTTGCAGTAAATGTTAGGGTGTAGGAAGGGCAGATTCCCTGCTGTAGCCACAGGAAAGCTTTCTGTGACCTAGGACATGAGAGATCGCCTAGGTACTGGCCCTTGAGGGAGGAGTGTAAGTTCATCAAGAAGAGCCAGGGCAGACTTAGCAGGATTTCTTTAAAGGAGGAGTTTAGAGGGTTGACTTTTATTGGGAGGGGCTTGCTCTGCATTTTTTTAAAAATATATTTTATTGATTGTTTTACATTTTGCATGAGACACGAATGCAGTCATTTTGGAGACGGCATCCTTGCCGAGGACTCCTGTTCTCTGGTCCCCATTAACCTTCCTACTCCCCATAAATGCAGAATGCCGCAATGTTTTGTGATTCAGCCCCCAGCCAGCCCCCGAGCAGCCTTGGTTGGAAAGCAGACATTTCCTCAGTGGGGAGCTCTGTGCAGATTCAAGTCCACCCAGAGCCTCTTCTCACCTTCAAGTCACTCTTATAATTAAGCTATAAAATAAAATACCAGATTTTAATGGGAAAGGAGCCCCGAAAGGTCACCTTGTCTCAGTAGGTGACATATGATCAGTTCTGTCTTGTAAATATGATGCCTCTGTGCCTTGCCCAGGGCCATCCAGCTGGTGCAAGGGGCATGCGGACTCAGCGAAGGTTCATTTGGGGTCCCTATTTTATGATCTGCATCATAAGAACAAAGACTCTTTCATTTTTTTATGTGAGTCATAACCCCAGTGCTGTGTCTTCTGTAGGAATGCTCACACGACCCCGTTTTTCCCAGCAGACTAATGCCCAGACTCCGCAATACCATCTCAGGATGGCAGTGGGTGTCTCAGCTGCAGTAGGCACAGGCCTTACAAGAAATGCTGGTGGCTGAGCCCCACACTCAGCTATATCAGAAGGTTCCTGGTGAAGCCTAGGATCTATATTTGCAGCCTGGGTGAGTGAGTCTAATGGGAGTCGTCAGAAAATCAAACTATGAAAGATCTCAGAGCAAGATAAAGCAGAAAGAATTTCCTCCAGGTTCAGGGGGCAAGCTTTTAGTTAGAATAGTAATAGCTCTCTTACTTCTTATAAAGCATCCTCTAAAATAAAAATACAGTGAAGACCTATTAAGGAAAGCATTAGGCATTTTAGGCATCTCATTTATTGGAAAGGAGACATAATTAAATTCCATAAATGCCCCCCCAACAGACACACACACACACACACACACACACACACACACACACATACTAGTATTGGCTTGCTTACCCTGGAAAATTGGCAGATTCACTCAATGGACTTTTGAACCACATGGTGGAATAATCAGGATGACGAGGGCTGCAAAGTAATATTTATACAGATTTGACCTCCATATTTATCCCTCTCCTAACTTCCTTTTCTCATGCAAACGTTTTGTGTCCAATTAACATCATTAGCATCTTGAACCAAAATGCCAAGTTGCTTTGAAAAATGAGAGCAAACTTGAACTTTTGGTGCCAAATAAGTTCATTGAATTCCAGCCACCATCCAGCATCGTGGTTGAATGGAAGTTCAAGAGATATAAAGTTCTGATGCCATGAGATTGCCCCTGGTAAACTTCAGAAGTCCAGTGAACATTGGCACTTCACTAAGAAAACCTGACACCAACTTAAGTGTCGAGGGCATTGATAGATGCCCTTGAGCCCCCTCGAGGAAAGCAAGCAGACAGAGCACCAGGGGCAGTCTAAGGAGCTGGGCTGATTGTCTATTTTGGAAAATGTTCACTGATTTTTCAGAAGTCTGATATAGAAATATATCTAAAAGGAGACATCCCTTAGCTGTGTCTCTGCACATCCCTCATCTCCAGCACCCGAGTCCCAGCATGCCAGGAGCGGTTTAGAGGTGTCCAGCTCCTCAGTGTCTGGGTATTCCCTCAGATATTCAGCTCACACATAAAGTTGTCTTTAATGAAACTTCACTTAGCCCGTAGAGAAATCTCCCAGAAGATATGGCTGAGCCAAGAAAACACCCTCACGCATGATTCTGTGCTTCTGGGAGAACCCCAAGAGACCATTTCAAAGCCAAGAGACCCTGGGAGAAGGTGTTTTAGAAATGTCATGTTGCCCAGGAATTAAGATGGAAGGTAATTGGCTCCCGTGGCATTTGCCACGACGTGACATCTTGGCAGAGCCCATGAATTCAAGGTGCTTACCATTTAGCTACCGGATTCTCAGCATATTGTTTACCGTTAGTTATTGGATTCTCCGTGTAATGAGGCAGAAACATGAATCGAGAGGTTGAATCAGCTCGAAGTGGCAGCGATAATAATCACAGCTAGACACTGATGTGCTGCTAGCTGAAGGCATTGACTTCATCATCCGGGGGGTGGGGGGGCCGTGGGACTGCTGGGGAGATGAAGAGAGGAGAGTCATTAACGATGGCAGCGAGAACCTTCTAAAACCTCAAGAGGATTACCTTTCTCCTCCCTACAGTTTCCAAAGCTCTGAAGCTGCTGTTGGAGGGAGTTGCATGTTGTTAGCTCTGTTGAGAGTGACCTAAATTTCTGTGGGAGCCAAACTTCAGAAGGTGGAAACCCTTCTCTGAGAGATGGCTACACGGTGTGCATGTTTCTCCTTAGAGGGAGACTAGGAGAAACACACCTCCAAAGGGGATGAAGGGGCTCCCACAATGCATCTGGCATGTGACACTGATTCCTAAGAAGCTCCAGGTCTTGTTATTTTGTGTCTCCCACGTGCACAGTATTTCACTTTACCTGTTCATTTACAGATGCTGAACTGGACCCAGAAAGGACAATAAGGAAAAGATTACACTTGAGTTCAGGTCTCTGCCATGTGGCTGAGGCAAGCTGCTGTCCCCGGTTTAAGGGCCTTGTTGTAATTTGATTCTATTGATACTATAAGTGTTGTTTTTTTCTTTGCAAGTTGCTTTCACATACTAGTCCATTAGCCCATTTCATGCTTACACCTGTATGAAGAGTCATAATCCTCATTTTTCTGAGAAAGCATGGAGGCCCAGAGACATCAGGGGACGTGCTCAGAGCCAGGCACCCCATCAACTGAACAGTCAAGTCAGGGCCAATATCCAGGCCTGCTGCTGGTCAGCACAGTACCGCTGTCGATGGCACGACCCCCTTCCAGAGGGGACCTGGGATGGGAACAGAGCTTTCTGTGCCTGCTTTATGTTCTGGCAGTTGCTAAAAATGCCTGCTCCTCCTGTCCTGACATACAGCAAACGGCATCAGCTGGTTTGATAAAGTAGGACCCTTCTCCCTACATGCTCATTCTGACACCAAATGGATGGGTGCCTGGAGATGCCGAGCATGGAGGTCCAGAGCTCCCACCCTCTAGGCTAGGGGTGTCGAACTCAATCATAGAAGGGGCCAAAATCTAAAATCCAGCCTAAATCGAGGGCCGAATGGTTTACTGAACAGTCATAAACTCTCATTGTGATGGAAACGCAGCGGAGTGCAGTAATGACAGCGCGGTGCGGGCCACATTGCAAGGCCTGGCGGGACGGATTTGGCCCACGGGCCTTGTGTTTGACACATGTGCTCTAGGCTGTCACTGATCACAGCACAAGTTCATTAAACCTGGATTATTTAGTGATAGTTAATAAGATAACTTTTTCCCAGCAGCCAACGGGAGCTGACACTGTTGTTTCTTCGCTAGTCCTGGAAAGCTGATCAGGCGCTTTCTGCTGCCACAGAGAGGGTCTGTGAGGCTCTTTACGATGGTAGGTGAAGGGGGTGACATAAACATGGCTTCTAAGAACAAGTTAACCCCTCGGCATCATTAAAAGTATACTGAATTTTATGTTGCTAGAGACTTGAAGCCTTTGCTCAGAAAGATGCTCATTATCCCCAGGAATCTGTCCCCAGGACTCAGACCTGAGCACATTTGAGGTTGAGGGACACAGGACATTGTTCCGGATGGACATTCAAAGAACAGGTCCCTCTGACAATGTATATTTCTTATCGTGGTCCATAGAGAGAGAACTACAGCACTGCATATGGGAACTATTTAGTTCCAGGAAACCTGATTTTCAGTAACTAGAAATAAAAATCTACTCAGAATAGATTGCATTTTTAAAATTGATCTGAAAGAGAGAGATGGAGGCAGAGAGAGAGAGACATTGCTTTGTTGTTCCTCACATTAATGTATTCATTAGTTGATTCTTGCATGTGTCCTGACTGGAATTGAACCTGAAACCTTGGCATATCCAGATAACGGTCTAACCAACTGTGTTAGCTACCCAGCCAGGGCCTAGACTGTATTTTATGGACATGCTCACATCTGCCCCCAGCTAAGAAGCCATTGTATTTACACGGACCTCCCAATGCTAACCTGTCTTCATACTTCCTTGAACCTCGAGAGTGGGCAGTGAGCAGAGCGAGCAGACAGCTACAGCTGGGGCCTGGCAGCTTATGGCTCCTCCCATCTCAGCCAGGACTGGGGACGAGGCCTCAAAAGGACTTTAAAGCATCAGGAGTCCAGTCAGATTGCTTGCCAAGAGCAATCCCCATTACCTTAGAAAACCTATTGGAAAAAGAAAAAAGGAAGAAAAATAACCTATCAGAGTCCATTGCTAGGATAAATAGAAATGTACATTATTATAGATCTAACATAGCACTAATTTTAGAATACACATATTATATTTGTATTAATATATTTTTACATATCCTCCACCTAGAATTTTCATAATGGGAACTGTCTCTAACATAATTCATTAATTTACTGGATTTAATTATATGGGTTCTATGGTTATGAGAAAAGGGAAAAGGAAGAAAAAAAGCTCTGAGTTTGAACTTCAGTTGTGGGTCTAAATGGCCTTGTGCTTTAACCAGCATCAGAGATATGAGTGAGCGCGGCCGGCTTGGCTCAGTGGTTGAGCATCAACCAATGAACCAGGAGGTCGCAGTTCAGTTCCCGGCCAAGGCACATGCCCATGTTGCAGACTCGATACCCAGAGTGGCATGCAGGAGGCAGCCGATCAATTATTCTCTCTCATCACAGATGTGTCTGTCTCTCCCTTTCCCTTTCTCTAAAATCAGTAAATACATATTTTTTAAAAGGAGAGAGAGATGAGTGATAAAATGAAAAGCTCTGCACTAATTACCAGGACAGAAGTGACAGTCAAAGAAAAGGTCAAAACATGTGAATAAAAGAGAGAAATACTCAAGTGTCATATTTATTCTGAAATACAGTGTTTAGTTTTTATTATATGCACTTAGAACTCTTTTATTTTAAGTTACCATAATTCCTATAGGATAAAATAGCTTTTCTATCATGAGTCTGAAATTATCTAGCCCTCTTGTCCCCTTTGAAACAGTGGCTTTTAAACTGGATTTTTTGATAATGCAACGTTTCTTAGCAATGGAGTCATTGCATCAGAGCAGAAAAGGTTGTGAAGATGTGTCTCAGAAATGTAGAAGTAGCCAAAACCGGTTTGGCTCAGTGGACAGAGTGTCAGCCTGTGGACTGAAAGGTCCTGGGTTCGATTCCGGCCAAGGGCATGTACCTTGGTTGCGGGCACATCCCCAGTAGGGGATGTGCAGGAGGCAGCTGATCGATGTTTCTCTCTCATCGATGTTTCTAGCTCTCTATCCCTCTCTCTTCCTCTCTGTAGGAAAATCAATAAAATATATATATTTTTAAATGTAGAAGTATATGGAAAGGACGTCCTTTGGCTGGTAAAAATAAAACAAGAGGTGTGTCCATGAAATGGGATGTAACAGATTTCTTCAATCCTAAATTACTCTTTCTGTGTTTAATTGGAAGGAACTATCTAAGTAATCTAGAGTTACAACTGTGTCATGTGAAACTTTTTTTTTCACTTGTGCACATTGCCCCTCCATGTAGCAGAGGTTAGCATTGGGCTCCGTGTATATTTTTTGAGCATATACTCCCCTGTCAACATCTAGGAGCAGTGTGGAAGTTGCAGGCCATCAGAAACCGAAAGGAAGCCACTCATGGAGACAGCAAAGGGTCAGCTGGTAGAGTTGTGAACTTACCATGAATAAACTGAAACACATGAATGCAGTTAAGGACTAACTATGGTTGGTTCATTCCCATGAAACTCAGTTCCTTGTTACTCAAATGATCTCATCCTTCAAGCCCGAGTGTAAAATGTTTCCTTTGCATAGGAGACTGACGTTCTCCGGGAATCACACTTTTCTTTCTCTGGTACTTCCGTGGCATTCACATATCTCTACAAAAGCAGTTTCCTCATTGTGTTGCAATCATGTGTTTGTGGGTTGTTACGTAGGAGAGCAAGAGACATAGTCATTTCCTTTCATCTTTACATATCCAGGCCTATCACCTCATTAGCCCTGAAAAATTATTTGTTGAATGAATGCACCGAACATTATATAAAAACTGGTTATCAACTCTTGAGACAGATCATAAGGTGATTGAACAGCTTTTTTCAAATTCCATAAATATTGATACATATGTGGCAGGAATGAAGATGCATTTTGAATGAAAACAGGAAGATGTACTTTATGTCTTTTTAGAACCATTTGTAGGGATCATTCTAAATTTTCAGTTAAAAATCCCTTCATCATCTAACACTCTGTAAGCTGGACCGCTGCCAAGGAGTATCATTTTGGGCTGAGCTCTAAACCAGTGGAAAATTGGATTTATGAATTCTAAGTTTGCCGGTGCTACTTATATTGATCCTCTCATGGGTTACAGTGTTTAAAATGTTTGTAAGAAGATAGCATTAAATTTTTGTTTTCACCAGCCTAGCCAGTTTGCTCAGTGGATAGAACACCGGCCTGCAGACTGAAGGATCCTGGATTCAATTCTGGTCAAGAGCATAGGTCTTCATCTGGGTAGACTAGGTCTTCAGCCCTGGTCAGGGCTCCTACAGGAGGCAACCAATCAATGTGCCTCTCTCACATAGTTGTTTCTCTTGCTCTATTTCTCCCCCTCCTTTCGACTCTCTAAAAATCAAAGGGAGCCCTAACCGGTTTGTCTTGGTAGATAGAGCGTTGGCCTGCAGATTGGGAGGTCCCAGGTTCAATTCTAGGCAAGGCCATGTACCTTGGTTGAAGCACATCCCCAGTGGGGGTGTACAGGAGGCAGCTGATCGATGTTCTAACTCTCTATCCTTCTCCCTCTGTAAAAAATCAATAAAATATATATTTTTTAAAATAAAAATCAAAGGGAAAGTATCCATGGGGTAAAAATAAACAACAACAAAACACACACACACACACACAAACTTTTTTCTTTCTTCCAGTCAAAGGAATGACTGTAAAATGGGATAATGTGCCTCACGATGAGGAAAGAGTTGGGATGGAGAGGACTGTGATGAAGGCCCAGCTCCTCCAAATGCCCAGCCTGTTCTAGGTTCCCAGAGGCACTCCTTTAGGCCTCGGCTAACCTAGTCGTGGCTTATTTTGAACGTCCCCTTCTTTATAGCCCTGGATACCACTTCACCTCTCACCAGCTGGAAAGGGGCCTAATTGCGTGTGAAGTAGCCAAGGCCTTTGAAAAGCGCGCTTCCTCGCGGACCCGGGTTTGCCATCGCTGCAGTTCCGAAACGACTCACCGGGGCCCTGACTGCGGCCTCCATCACTTAATCTGCTTCCCAGGATTTCCTCCGTGAGGGATTAACCTTTCATCTCACTGAGCTGAGAACATCAAACAAGGAGGAAGAAAGCCTTCCTTTGCCAGAGAGAAGCCTCTAGCCGTGAGAGCCCGCAGGGCACGCTTACAGCTAATCAATACACAGGCCTGCAGCAGGAGGGATTAGGAAATAACGTTAGCGGTGCTTTCACAACGTAGCATTAGTCATGTAGTCATACTTTTCTTTAGAAAAGTCTTCCCTCCGCCCCCTCTTCCCCCCCCCCCCCCCCCCGAGAACAACAGCTGGCATCTTCCTGTGTCTACCCCTAGTTTTCCAGGGCAGGAGAGGGTAGAAGAAATCTGAACTCAAATGATGCCTAGAAATGGCCACAGGTAAACAGGAACCTCACTCCAAGAAATACTACCAAAGCCCATGTAGTGAGGTTTTTTTTTCAGCTGAAGTTGGTCTAGTCACAACCTTAACATAGCCTCAGAGGAGGAGTCCCATTGACTCTTTGCACCCAACCTCCTTGAGCCTGACGGTGAGCTTTGGGCAGATACAGGGACATTTGAAAGCACTCCTGCTTCTGGCAGCCTGTGGAGTCCAGCTCCTGAACCTTCCTGACCTTCTGGGGTGTAGAGTGATTCCCTGTGTGCTGACCATGCATGTTCGTTCCCCCTTTGTCGCAGGAGGACTGTGCCCGGGGTCCAATGATCCTTGCATAGAGAAGCCGTGCCCAGGGGACATGCAGTGCGTCGGTTACGAAGCCAGCTGGAGACCGTTCCTCTGCCAGTGTCCACCGGGGAAGCTCGGAGAGTGCTCAGGTGCAGAAGTGGGTTGCGATGACGAGTCCCCAGTCCTGAAGCCCTTTGCCCTTGAGTCCGTGACACTGCCCTCGCCCTTTCAGAAGACGTTTCTGCCTGCCGGCAATATTGTCCTTCAGAATGGGCTAGAGCGGACACCCGCCCTCAGACATACTCGGCGTCTATGGCAGCTGCAGCATGTATGAAGAACACATGCTGTGACCGTGGGCTCCTAACACAATGGGGAGACCACAGCATGTGTTTTCCATCATGTTGCATGGATGGTATGGGTGTGAAATCATGGAACATGCACGGCTATTGGTTGGCAGAAGAGTTGGAGTGCCTGTGGCATGACCTTGGATGTTCAGAGGGTCTTCACAGACCCTGGTCCCAAAACAGAGACCCACAGAAGGTAGAGCTGAGCCTGTCTAGTTGGCCTTCCATGGGATCAGCCCAGCCTAGGGCACCAAGTTAATATCTCTACTGGAGATGTCTAACAAACTGCAAGTTCCCCAAACTAGGTGCTCACCTCTGTTTCTTAAAGAAAAAAAAAACAGTATTTATATTATTTCAGTACAAATGGCCCTCTGTGTCTGATGTTCACTCAATCCATTTTTGATTCATGAATTCTTGAAAATGAGCAATTCTCTAAAAAGAGTATTGTTCATTTTAGGCACCAATAAAATACTCTCTTTGGTAGAGGCTATACTTAAAATACAGGTACACTGATGCCAATTTTGGAACCCAAGAACTAGATTGATTAATGATTGAATAGTCATTATAGTGATAATAGAAAGTGATTATGACCATTGTGTGCAAGGCACTTTGCTAAGCAGTGGGTTCCAGAAATAAATTTAGCCTTTGCAAAGAGAAGCTCCGTTCTTAGAAATGGAAGCCAAAGCTCTTTCATACTTGATTTCAAGAACAGAGCTGCCCATTAAGTGAAGGGATCACCAGTGTATTTGCTTTTGAAGTCATCTAAGGCTTAGACTTGAAAGATATTTGTGCTGTCCCCACCCCAGCATACATGCCGTGCACATAGCAGGTGGGGACGTAGAGTGACAGTAAGGCCAAGCCTTGTCACTTCAGATGTCACTTTCTGCCCATCTCCTTTCTCCTCTCTATATAAAAAACTTTTGATTGTTCACAATTATCATCTATTTGGTGTATTTCCACACCACCTTTCCTCCCAGCAAGACTGTTTTTCAACCATTATTTTGCTTGTGAAAACATAAAGTTAGAGGCAATAAAAAAATAGGATAAACTCATATTTGGGCCATATGAATAGGGCTAAAAATTACGAGGAGAGCCTTGAAATTAATAGTCAAGATAGAATTGTGACTGCATAAGACATGAACTCCCTTTCTATCTGTTACTTTTTTCTGATGCTAGTGCAAATGTCATGATTTGGCTATTTGACATTAGGATATGTGAGGAATACGGGCATTCTTTGAAAATGGTTGTGTCTTCCCATAGTTCCATGGAACTGAAAGTTCTTAAGTGTCTAAGTGATGGGGATAGGCATGATGGGTTATCCTTTAATAGAACTAATTTTAGACAGTGGGAATTGGGAATTTAATGACACTAATAAAATTCCAGTTATGGAATTTACCAAGTTGCCCTTGTCATTAGACAACTAAGATTATTTTTTTCTGCATCTGAAATAATATTTGTTTTCACTTTGAAATTAGAGTGTGACCAGAAATGGAGAACCAGTTTTTAGTCACAAATGGTTTCTCCTCGATGCCGTCACTCACTTCCCGTGGTCTTCCATCACCTTGCGTGGAAGTTGTCGGGTGATTTCAGGTGTCCCTGCTCATTTCCGGAAGTTAAAAGCCTGTGTGTCCTCTCATTATGGTCTTTCCAGGGCACACTTCACTCAGCTTTGCTGGAAACAGTTTCATCAAATACCGGCTTTCTGAGAACAGCAACGAAGAGGACTTCAAGCTGGGTCTGCGTCTGCGCACACTGCAGAGCAACGGGATTATCATGTACACCAGAGCAAATCCCTGCATAATTCTGAAGGTAATTAAAACGGGTTATCTTCTCCTGCAGTCAGTTCTCATGTTATTCTTTTTGGCTCTCGGGTTGGGGGCTGCTGAAATCGTTTTGTCTTTTAAATTCAGAAGACCAGAAGCAGACTTCGGGACAGAGGGAGCAGCAGCAAAACTGGGAAGTGTGCCAACACCCCGTTTCCTTTTGTGTATTCGGCTTCGAAACTGGCTCTTGGCAGACAGGGGATCTCTCTCTAGAGTGGGTTCAAGGGCCGGCCTCCTCGGAGCTGTAATCACTCAACAGCTCATTAGAATGTATCTCCTAATCAATTCCATGGCAGGGTTAGTCCTTTAAAAAGGTTGGCTGTGTACTCTTCTATCCCCACTGACCTCTGAGAGCGACTTCTGTCCTTGCTCAGAGAGAAGTTGGACATCTGGGCCGTAGAAGATTCCATATGTCCCACCTGACACAGGTAGCCCAATTTTATAAAGTAATTCCCAGCCTCAGAAACTCTCCGAAGGCAGCCAGGCTTCCTTTAGAGCTGATCTGGCATTTGTGTTCAGCTCAGAGCTTCTGGTACCTTCATGTCAACAGCAATTGTACTAAAAGCTTTACATACATCATTTTATTTTTATTATAAAATTAAAATAAATTCGTTATATCTGATCATCATCATTTGATGGAGAAGATAGAGGTTCAGAGAGGTTTAGCAAGTTACCTAAGATTGTACAGCTAATAAGTGGTAAAGCCTGGACTTACACTTCAGCCTCTTAACCTCCATGCTTTCCCTAGTTCTCAGTGTTGACACTACAATTTATTTCATCAAAAAAATAACATTCTGGCCCTGGCCAGTAGCTCACTTGGTTAGAACATCATCCCAATATGTCAAGGTTTTGGCTTTAATGTCCTGTCAGAGCAAATACAAGAATCAACCAAGGAATCCTCTATAATAAAAGATGAATATGCATATCGCCATGAGATGCACTGACCACCAGAGAGCAGATGATCAACGCAGGAACTGCCCCTGGTGATCATTGCGCTACAACAGAGGGAAGGCCACTCAGCCAAAACCCAGACTCATGGCTGGCGAGTGCAGTAGCGATGGTGGGAGCCTTTCCCACCTCTGCGGGAGCACTAAGAACTCCTTGGGGGATGTCCAACTGCCAGCTTAAGCCCGCTCCCCAGCAGTCGGACATCCCCCGAGGGGTCCCATACTGCAAGAGGGCACAGGCCAGGCTGAGGGATTTTTGCCCCCTCTCCCCCCACCCCAGTGCACAAATGTCATGAATCGGGTCTCTAGTGCATAAATAAGTCAGGGGGAAAATCAATAAACAAAAATTTAAAACTGTATTCTGGGACAGATTAAGCCCTCCATTATTGTGAGGAGAAGAAATAAGAATGAGGAAGACATGCTTAATCTAATGCTTTTCTTACCAGTTTGCTACTCCAGCCCATTGTAAAGGTATTCAGAGATATATAGTCTCTCCAGCAGAAAGTGTCCATTGGGCGGAAGTGACAGACAATGTTTCCTTCCTAGGATTCTATCACTAGGTTTAACTTGAATAATGGTGGACCTTCCTAGCTTCTATCCTTTGATTGTTTATAGGTCACATCCAAGTTGACTAGGCGGCCTAGACTTTAATCCTAGAAGGAGAGAGCTGACTGCCAGTGGCTTCCCCTGTCACACAGACTTTTCCCAGGTCTTATTGCCGGGTATTACTTGGTGGCCAAGAGTGAGTGATCGGGGAGTTGGAATTCAAAAGCTGGCTACTTTTGTGGGGAATCTCCCACTATCCTTGCTCATTCAGCTGAGAGAATAATTTTAGCTCTGCAAAGGAAAGCAGTGTTTTTAAATTTTTTATGTATTGATTTGAGAGAGAGAGGAAAGGAGAGAGAGAACTCAATTTGTTGTTTCACCTATTATGCATTCATTGGTTGGTTCTTGTTATTTTTTTAATCCTCACCCGAGGGGAGGGAGAAAGGGAGGGGGACGGGGGGGGGGGGGGGAGATTCATGGATTGGTTGCCTCCTACATGGGCCCTGACTGTGGCAGGGGATCAAACCTGCTACACAGGTATGTGCCCTTGACTGGATATCAAACCCACAACCCTTTGTTATGCGTGCTGGTGCTCTAATCACTGAGAAACACTAGCCGGGGCTCATTGGTTGATTCTTGCATGTGCCCTGACTGAGGATCAAAAAAGACTCACTCTGGCCCTGGCCAAGGGTCATGGGTTCAATTCCCAGCTCTGGTCAGGGCTCGAGCAGAAGGCAACCAATTCATGTGTCTTTCTCACATTGATCTGTCTCTCTCTCTCTCTCTCTTCCTTCCCCCAGCCCCACTCTTTCTAAAAAAAAAAAATCAATGGACAAAATATCCTTGGGTGAGGATTAACAAAACAACAACAATAAAAAACTCATTCTGGAAGGGCAGTTTTAGAAAACAGTTACTTCAATTCATGGTGGAAGAAGAAAAATTCAGAGGCTTAACTCCTGTCTTTATTCTCTCCTGGCCCCAAAGCATAGTGCCTTCAACCCGTAGATCACATTCTAAACAGCCCTGAGTATGGAGGTTGGAATCATTGCTTGGGAAATGCTCTCACCTTCGAGGTACCAGCTCCTGCTGGCTCTGTTTAAGTGTTATTGACCTTCCCCTCTCCTCCTTCAAAAGGCCTGGTGGGTGCAGAGCATTCTTATGAGGCAAACACTTTCTATTAGCAAATCTCTTCAATTGCATTAAACTTGAGGAGAAGAAAAATCTTGGACCTGGATGGCTTGACCCTAAAATGGAGTTTGTCACTTGACACATCACTGGAAAATGTCTAAAATGTGCAGCTCTCTGGGGATGGCAAAGAAGAATTAAACCTTTTAGGCAGCACTAGCTCCTAAGGTAGATTGTATTTCATGGAACAAGCCTGTTCCTGGAAGTTGTGTAAATTGAATCTCTAAATGGAATTCTAATAAACTCGGGATGGTTGCCCATTGAGGGGACTCTCCCATTAATCCCTTTGTGATGTGAATAGTCACCCCCAATCTGTCTGTTCTCTACATTTGCTTCTCATGTGTTGGGTTAGCCCAAAGCAGGACACAGCTATACTGAACTATTGCAGATATTCTCCTACAGTTCGCCAGGAATATCCACTTAGGGGATTTGGATCTGTGTGCTTAACATTTCCAACCTCGTGCAAGATTTAATTTTATTGGCCTTTGGTATGGTGTGTGGCTTGTACTTTGGTTCAATGACTATGCTGAGATGCTTTGTTTAAATTGCACTTCTGGCTGTTTATATTTTCCCGGTTACAGCACATTCTCTTAAAAAGTACTTAAGGCAGTCAGTGGGGTGGAGGGCGCCCCTTGCAAACAGCGAAGGAAGTGCATGGAGACCTCAAGAAGGGGAAATGCTCGAGGACAGGGAGCACTGCTATCTCCAGGCAGCAGTGAAGGGGCGCATTCATCTGTTTACCATGTACACCTTGTTTGCTTCCAAAAGAGATTCCAGGCTTAACATAAACACCCGAATGCAATAAAATCAAAACGCCATTAAGAAAAGTACACACAGCCCTAGCCAGTTTGGCTTAGTAGATAGAGCATCGGCCTGTGGACTGAAGGGTCCCAGGTTCAATTCTGGTCAAGGGCACATGCCCGGGTTGTGGGCTGATCTCAAGTTGTGGGGCATGCAGGAGGCAGCCCATCAATAATTCTCTCTCATCATTGATGTTTCTATCTCTCTCTCTCCCTTCCTCTCTGAAATCAATAAAAATATATTAAAAAGATTAAAACACACACACACACACACACACACAAACACACACAAAAGAATAAGAGCCAACCAGTGAAGTGGGGAAGGGCAGAACATCATCCCTAAAATATCTAGATCTAGGGTTGCTACCTCAGTTGAACAGAAACCATAACTCTGAGTTTCCTGGCAGCCAAAGCAATAATGGAAATGGTGGGGTCGGTTCTATGTCTGTCCTTGAACCTGTAATAAAAACACATCATGTCACCATGAGAGATTTGCCAGATACAAGTAACTCTTCCCCTATGCCAGTCTTTTAGGGCCAGTGTTAGAACAAAAACACAGGTTCTCGGTTATTCTTTTAGAGCTGTCACATTTTTTTTTTTTTTGGAGAAGTTCTAGAATCTAGATGATGCATGCTTTATGTTGATGATTCTCAAACATGGCTAGCTTAACACCCAGGGTTGAAAGGAAGATGGTCAGGGAGAGCTCCTTTGGTTTTTCAAACTTATTCGGCCACTTAGCGAATCCAGATCTTTCTAACATAGACTAGAAGAGTAAAAAGGAAGTCTCCCCTCCCCCACCCAAGATTCCAACGTTCCAAGGGTCTGCATCAGAATATCAGTAAGAAGGGAGTTAACATATTATAATAACAACACACCTACAAACATATCCGTGATGACTACTCTTCTGCCGATGAAGAAACCAACGCTCAAAAAGATTCGGCGACATACCCAGAGTGAAAGCTAGGGAGGGGTAGGTCTTGGCTTCTGACAGAGGCAAACAGGTTGAGGGCACTACAATGTTTATAAAAAAGAAAATATTTGGAGGGCTGGGGTGATAAGTTGTTTATTCAAAATGTATTTTGGGGCACTTACTGTGTGCCAGATAACAATTAATGGCAGCCATGAAAAGAGGTTTGTTAAGAGTTCCCTTTTCAAAGAACATGTACTCACCCCCTTGCAAGGTTTCTGATAGTGATGTGCTTCCTAGAAGCACACAGTGTCATAATTTAAACTTTTTTGCTCAAAATTCTACACTCCTCCAAGAAGACTTCTTACAGACAGCTTGATATGTTGTCTCCCAACCCTCAAGACACAGAAGACCTGAGTTAAAGGACATCCCTGATTTGAAACAACCCCAAGAGCCTAAATGTTACATGACATTAGGGCCACACTGTCTGAATTATGCATTTCACTGAAGTCATTGCTTCCTTCCCCCTATCGGGCACATCATTTCATATCATTGCTATAAACTTTCCTTTCGGTTTCATGCACACCCCAAATTCTATTAAAATAGCTTGCCCTCTGATTTGAGAAAGCTTTGTTCTCTTAAACGAGAGATCCTTTAAACCTGGGTTAACCCTATTCTGAAGACAGAAAAATAAATAGGATGAGAGTATAATTTTCCAGTGCGAGAGTGTATGAAAGCATTCTTTTCTCTCCCTGGCGAAATATACTTGTGAAATAGCAAAAGATTAACTCTTTTCAAAGGGAGCTTTGGCATCAGCATCTCTAGTTTGTCATCTAAACAAGCCTCATCATTCCAAACTCCTAGAATTTTGAAGAGGCAGATGAATTTTCTTTTCAAAAAGCTGAGGATCACGTAGGCCTCCGGCTTCCTATTCATTCAGTAGTGCTGCTGCTGCTGCTGTTATTATTTTTTTTCTCAACATGAAAAAAAAGTAAACTTAGCGTGTTCAATGTTAGTCTGGGATAATTTTATGATTCTTAGTTACAGAGCTTTCCTGTACGAATGCATCAGAGCCTCATCAGCCCTCCTGGGTGAATTTGTAACTTGTTTACTACCCCAAGAGACAGGGGGTCGGGTTGGGGAGGGGAAATGGACCAAATAACATATTAATTGACTACTTCCTTTTACAGAACCTTACGTGAATTGTACCCTCACCACCAGATTTTCCCTGATAGACTAGGGACACCTCTTCATAGCCACAGAGCATAACAGCAGATGGACTGTGCAGAAGGTGGTCCCCGAAGTCGCATTTGATCATTTTATGACTCACATTGAAATAAAAATATGGATATGTACCCAGGAGTTGTCACTGAGCAAGTATTCTGGTGTGATTTACAATATCCACTCAGTCCATTTTGTGGAACTGAAATAGTGACAAAGACAACAGCATAGATTACTCGTACAAGCTCTCTGAAAAGAAAAGAAATATCTGTCTGCGGTCCTTTTACATCCATACATTTGCGTTACAGAGCAGAGTGAGTATGTCCTAACTGTGCGAGATGTGGCTAAACATGCTGCAGGGGACACAGTCTTCATATACAATAAGCCGCCGCAGATACCTCTGCTCCACAGATAAGGGTCAACCTGGGTGATACAGGACAAGGCCCCAGTTAGATCCTTATTCCTAACTTCCCAGGGCTCTGCGGGTTCACACAGCCTCCCCCCTTCTGTAGTAGTATACATGCTTGTGTGGCATGAGCCTATGAAATTTATGCAGAAAAAAAAAAAAAAAAAAGAAAGAGGTGGCAGGGAATCCATGGAGCCACAGAGGTGGAAATGAGAGTACCCAAGAATGAGCGAGTGGGACATATTGAAGCTCAGGGATGTGATCTATGTGTGAGAATGAGTGACGCTGTGACAATCCCTCACGGGTCTATCATGAGTCAAACATTTCAGAAAGACTGGCTCCGTCTGTTTCTATGAATTCACCTGCCATTTATGTCTCCTCAGCTCTTAGTGACCTGGAAAGGTCTACGTTCCTTCCTTTGTTGGACAGGGTGTACAGGATGCATATTAAAAAGCACTCTGGTGTCGCCCCCCCGCGCAGATCATGGACGGGAAGCTGTGGTTCCAGCTGGACTGTGGCAGTGGCCCCGGGCTCCTGGGCATCTCGGGCCGCGCGGTCAACGATGGGAGCTGGCACTCGGTCTTCCTGGAGCTCAACCGCAATTTCACCAGCCTGTCCCTGGACGACAGCTACGTGGAGCGGCGCCGGGCGCCCCTCTACTTCCAGACGCTGAGCGCCGAGAGCACCATCTACTTCGGGGCGCTGGTGCAGGCGGAGAGCGTCCGCAGCCTGGCCGACGCGCGGGTCACGCAGGTGCTGAGCGGCTTCCAGGGCTGCCTGGACTCCGTGGTGCTGAACAACAACGAGCTGCCCCTGCAGAACAAGCGCAGCAGCTTTGCCGAGGTGGTGGGCCTGACCGAGCTGAAGCTGGGCTGCGTGCTCTACCCGGACGCCTGCGAGCGCAGCCCCTGCCAGCACGGGGGCAGCTGCGCCGGCCTGCCCTCCGGGGGTGAGTGTGCTGGGTGTGCCCTGGGCACCCTGCGGGGGCAGCGATGGATAGAGGGGTGGGGTTGATAGACTTGCAGGGGGCCCCTGTCTCATATGCTTTACCATCCCAGTCCTTGCCCGGAGACCAATATTCATATTCATCCAAGATGCTAGCAAAGCTTCCTAAGCCATTTGGGTAAGGTGACCAGACGTTCCACTTTTGGCGGGACAGTCCCGATTTTCAACAATTTGTCCTGCGGCATTTTTAAAAAGACTTTTTTAAAACACCACAGGACATGGGACAAATTGTTGAAAATCGGGACGTCTGGTCACCTTACCCTTGGGGGGACTGAGTGGTTGGCAACTACAGGAGTGTCCAGTTTAGTCAGTCCATTTGCAACATCCCATAGGTGGTGCAGTGCCCTGACCACAGGAACCTGGAGATCACAGATGCCCCCTCCCTGGCCCGCCCCACACTCCCCCAGGCCTCAGCAGCTTGGAGGAATCAGACAGCCTTTTTAAGTGGTTGCCCTCTTGAGTCTCCTGCATGTCCCTGCAGAATAGCTGGTAGCAATCTGAGTGATGAAGGCCGTATGGCAGCAGGTACACAATCCCTTCTCACACAGACATACCCTGAGTGGCCAGATTATAATAATCTCTGAACACATAATCATCAGGCCATTCGGTGTATATCCTATATAATAAAAAGCTAATATGCAAATTGTCCCCTCGACCAGAAGTTTGACCAGCAGGCAGGCAAACCGCCCATGTCCCCTTTCCCTGGCCAGGCTGGCCAGACCCCACTCATGCACAAATTCATGCACTGGGCCTCTAATATATATATATATACTGGAGTCCCGATGCATTAAATTCATGCACGGGATGGGGGACTCGGTGTTTCCTCAGCCCGGCCTGCACCCTCTCACAATCTGGAACCCCTCAGGGAATGTCCAACTGCTGCTTTAGGATCGGAATCAGGCCCTAAACCAGCAGTTGAACATACCTCTCGAAATCTGGGACTGCTGGCTCCTAACCACTCACCTGCCTGCCTGCTTGCCTGCCTGATCACCCCTAACCACTCTGCCTGCCTGCCTGCCTGTTCACCCCTAACCACTCACCTGTCTGCCTGATCACCCCAACTGCTCACCTGTCTGCCTGATAGCCCCTAACTGCCTGATCGCCCCTGCCACTCTGCCTGCCTGCCTGGTTGTCCCTAACTGCCTCTGCCTTGACCCCCACCCGCTGTGGCAGCCACCTCTGCTTTGGCCCCCACCACTGTAGCAGAAGGACATCCAGAAGGTTGTTCCACTGTCTGGTCTAATTAGCATATTATGCTTTTATTATATTATAGATAGATAGATATACTGAGTGGCCAGATGATTAGGTGTTCAGAGATCATAATAATCTAGCCACTCAGTGTATAACTTTACTAGAAGCTAAAGGGGTGGGGTGTGCAGTGAGCCCACTACCCAGGAGTAGAAATACTGAGGAGATGTTTTGGAGCATGCTTTTACAGCGTGTGTATTAAAGATGAGTCCATAAAGGAGTAAAAAGTCAGGAATAAGGAGAGGGAAGCTGACATGAAGTCTCCAGACAGATAAACAGTGAGTGAGGGTTTCCTGCTTTACCACAATAATTTTCCTCACACAGATACATTATGAAGATGAATGAAAGAGCAAATAGAGTGTGTCCCTCCCCAAACAAAAGGGTGGCAGGACTTACAGAGGGTTTCTGTCGTTTGAGAGAAATGCCAAGGTTATTGCAGTCCTTGGAGTCTGAAGATACAGGAACCCCTGACATTACCCAGATGCAGTGTGCGTTCATGCAAACTGGGCCAGGCCCTCTCTGGGTCAGAGCCTTTGCCAGCTCACTGTGGCTCAGCCACTGATTTTACCACGGCCCCTTTTCGGACTCTCCCGGCGACATTGTGATTAGCAAATTTAAACCTTCCCCACAAATCACTTAGAGATTCTGCTGTGCATATTACCATCTAATGTTCGTGAAGCCCAACTCCAAATTTAGAGTCCATTTTATTATTAGAATGGTATAAACTGTCTGCAGAATGATGCACTGCCGAAATACGGACCCCAGCGTTATTTAGACTTGCATATGTTTCTGCCACAGTGAGGGCCGAGTGCCCTGGGGGGAATTTCTGCAGGCTCGATTTAAGAAATCTATTGGCTGTTTTTACTATCTCAGCAGTATATGTAAATAAAGGATTGTTATGGTGCCATAATTCCCGAATGATGGGCAGTAACTATACTTCAGCGGTTCTATAAACCAGCCCATTATGACAAGTCATGGCCAGTTTTTCACCAGGCAAAACAATTCTGCGAGTGTGAGCCATCTAAGATATATAAAAGGAGGATATAATTAAATTGGGTTGAAATAGAACACCACTCCATGTCAAATGCTAGGTACACAGCCACAAATTGTAACATACTTTTTAACGATGGCGGGACATGGTTTCATCTGGCAGAGCTATGGACTTCCACAATGGGTGAGCTTTAAAAATCATAATAATCATTGTATTAAGAAAAGAGCCTATGGAATTTTCCTCTTCGCGATGCGTTTTAATTTTTTTTTTTAACTGCCATGAAATCCTTGAGCTAAGTATCCAGTGCAGATATATTCATGAGATGACTGTAACCCGCATCAGAAACAGCCATTTCTCTGTATTTTTTAATCCCCTTTTGGTTTAACCAGATTCCAGTACTGGGGACTCTCCTGTCATATACTTTTTCACATGGCCCAAAGAACTTACTTTCCAGGGACCCAACCTTGCCCACAGAAGTCAAGGTCAACCTTGCCTGCTTGCCATCTCATACTCCTCTTTGTCCCCCTGCTCTCCACTCCCACCAGTGATTGGGTCTGGGATTCCACAGCAGATGCTCCAGAGCCTCTTTCCTCTTCCGGTCTCTGCTTTGGACCTGGGGCTTATACTTCCCTAAAGCAAAGAAAGTATCTTTCCTCACCTCCATCTTCACAACTTACTCCTCTGTTTGATGGAGGGGGCCCAGTGGTTCTTATCTCAGCAGCCCCAGGGCATGGCCCAGGTGGGGCAACCTGGGGCTCTGAGGCACAGCAGTACTGAGCCCAGGGAGAGCAAACTCCTGACACTCCCCAGGAAACCGAAGACGAGGGCTTTTGTTGCTTCCTGTGGAAGCAAAGGCACAAGATTCCTCTTCTGATGGGTGAGGAGGCACCTACCTGCTTCCTGGCTTTAGGGATAAGGCCTCAGCTTCTAGGGAAAGATGAGAGGGAGACTCCATTTCCTTGTCCAAATTATCTGTTCATAGTAGAGTAATTTTTGCCAGGTCCCTGTATCCTATCTGCACATTCCTTCCATTGTGCCAAAGAGTAGGGGGCAGGGACAGGAACAGAAAGAACCAACAATCTGGCTTTTAACTCAGATCTGTGAAACTGTGCAGCTAATGATAAGGTTATTTAAAATAAAAAGCATCTTAGCTATGCGTGATAGTTTAAAAAGGACAAGACTGAGTTCTTCATGAAAGAATATTCATGCCTTGAAGGATTACTCCTGGCTACCAGGAGTGCTTAGTGGCTGGAAGAGAGTCTTGCTTCCCCAGATCAAAGGCTAGGATGCATGCGGTATTCAAAGAGGAAATTGGGGCTAGAGAGAGCAGAGAGAAGTCATTAACATGTGACTTCGTGCACAGGGGCGTGTTGATAGCACAAGTTAATTGTCTGAACATCTCACTGTTGCGGGAATCCTGTGTGGCCATGTGTTACTCTACCATTGCAGGACACGTATTTAGCATACTCATTCTCTCAACCTCTGGAGAATGCTGGAATATTGTGGCTCGTTGGCTCTCCTGGTGGCCCACTCTCACACTGTAGCCATCCTAGCACATTGTTGCAGAGCACTCAGAGTTCTCACACCAGGCAATCCGCAGCAAGAATCATTTTCTGTCAAAGAAAAGGGATTCTGCCCTAACCGCCTCCAAGCACAATCAGCCTCTGGCATGCAGGGCACAGAAGCCACGCCTGCCAGCGCGGAACGCCATGGTCAGCGGGTTTGGCCAGTGCTGTGACTCTGGCTGTCCCAAGAGCAAGCCATGGGGCCCCAGGGACTCAGAGGCCAGAACACTGACTTGTAATAGGAGTGTAAATATGAGGCTGTCAAGCAACCACAGAAGGAAGGCTCTCTTTTGGTAAAGCCTTCAAATTATATATGTTTCATAACATGAACTGGAAATAGCAACCATGGTGGAGGAGCAGTGGTATGGTCCCATTCTGACCCCTGCATTTCCAGACCTAGCGGGTAGGGAGCAGCCCAGCAAGCAACCACAGTTTGAATCAGGAGTCCCCAGTCCTCCTTGCCTTCTCCTGATCAGCTTAAGCCCATTACCGGAAAATCTGCTCTAGGCCAAACAAACTAGTCATTCGGACAGCTTTGCATGAGACTAGAAGTCTAAATCTTAAAATGAAAAGTTGGTAAATTTTTAAATGCTAAGAGCTGCCGTTAGTTAAACCCTCACTATGTGCTTGGCACTATGCTAGGCACTTACCTTGTAAGTGTTCACACACTGTGACATAATTCTCAAAACAATATTCTGGGATCCGTGCTATTTTTCTCCCCCTATCCACATTTTACAGTTAAAGAAACAAGCCAGAGAGGTTTAGTAACTATCCCAGCATCACACAGCTAATAAAGTTTGTGGACCCACCCAGCTTATGCTCTTACCCCGTCACTCTAAGTGTGTCCCAGGGACCAGCAGCATTGGCAACACTGGGAATAGAGGTGCAGCATCCCACCCCAAACTTACTGAATCAAAATCTGAATTTTAACAAGATCCCTAGATGATATACTGATTTCTGTCTCTTAACTGCCCCGAAACCAAGGAGAACTAGTTCTCTTTTGTTTGTACCTATTACACATAGTGGTTCTCAGACTCTGGGGTGCAGCTGCATCGCCGAGGACCTTATTAAGATAAGACTGTGTTATAGAAGAGTCTCTTGATTGTTAAGGGGAAAGGAACATCTGTTTACTCACCACCA